GAGCGCCCAGTAGATACCAGATCTTGTGCACAGTCCTCATCTGCACCAGAATTACAACCGTCCGTGCCCTTTGCTTGGGGTCAGAGTGCTGTCTGGGTTGAAAACGCATGTGTTGGGTCAGGACATACACGCTGGTCCCCCAGCGAACTCCCACTCCCTTTCTTACCACTTATGTGGACTTTCCCCTCTCTGCAAAATTGCTTTCCTCTCCGAAAAGGCCCAAACGGCTCTGTTCAAGGTGGCAGCTGCAAGAGAGCTCGCAAAGCACTGTCCTCTGTGGTCTCGGGCTCCTCCACTCGACAGACTCGGTGGAGACAGACCTCAGGGATCCAAGTCTCGAATGGCAGAAAGTCGACTTGCCGGCTGGCTGATGAATCAATGTGGATGGTGATCACTGAGAACACACTCCAAGTCCATGCTTTGTTACCACCACTGTACACAGTCCGTGTGTTCTTGCTCTAGGCATGTGTACTGTCCCCTTCCATTGGCTACTCCTACTGTTGCCTAGGAAACCACAGCCACCACGTGAGGTCTGGTGGCCTCTCTTTTGTCTGTGAAACACCCGAAGGAGCGTCACTCTGTTAAAGGTGCTGGCCTCGAGGTAGAGATTGCTTCAGTGCTGGCAACATCTCAACACTTTTGGGTAATCCTACTTTGCGACTTGACAAGAAGGTGAACATCCTGTCCAAGAATATACTCTGGACACAGACACACTGTATCCTAGAATTTTTAGAGTCTTAATGTGTTTGAAAAGACCGATGATGACATGTATTCTAAACTTATTAATTCACTGGCCATCCTGACAAATTCTTTAAAACACTTTAAAACACTGGTATTAAATATTTAAAACCTTTTTAGATGCATATTTGGGCCTGTAAAATATTTAAGGAAACCCCTCCAAGGCCAGCCAAAAAATAAAAGAGAAACAAAAATTCAAAGGAGTGAGCTAAAGCTGAAGCCCGCAGCTGTCTTCAGGCATCTGCTGATCCCAACAACCAGGGGCTTTGGTTGTAGCTGTTGCACGGAGGAGGCAGCGGGGCGGGCAGGAGGGCATAGGGATGGCAAACACATCTAAGAACATGTAGAGTAAGCCAGCCATTGCTCTAAGTGCTTACATATATCAACCCAAAGCCTAGGACATGCCCAGGCAGGGGGTCAGCTCCAGGAGCTATGCTTCAGGCTGAACAGTGGAACGTCTACACCCGATGAATGAGCGCTCTTGGAAAACACGTCCTGCAGAAGAAAAGGCAAGAAAATGCATCCACCTGGGCACTGGCTTGGGAGGAGGGGGCTCATTTGGGTTTGAGATATGAACTCATACTGTGTGTCCTAAAAAAATACCTTAGGAAAGCTTTTAAGTTGTCCAAATTGGAAGTGCCACCAAGGCCAAGCAGAAGCAAACACATCCTTTCTCTGTAGGAATGCACCCTCAGGTCAACCTCAGAATTCCCATATATAAAGTCCCAGCGATTATAATAAAAAATACATGAGATAACAAACCATAATGTGTGAAAAATAAAGAGAAGAAAACACCAGAATCAGACAAGCAAAGACTTTAAATATTAGAATTATGAGCTGTTGAATATGAATTAAGTATTTGATATTTTTATTTTTTTTTTTTTAAGATTTTTTTATTTATTTGCGAGAGAGAGAATGAGAGACAGAGAGCATGAGAGGGAGGAGGGTCAGAGGGAGAAGCAGACTCCCTGGTGAGCAGGGAGCCGGATGCGGGACTCAATCCCCGGACGCTGGGATCATGACCTGAGCCGAAGGCAGTCGCCCAACCAACTAAGCCACCCAGGTGCCCAAGTATTTAATATTTTTAAACATATAAGAAGGAATCTAAGGTACAAGTAAGAAACAAGAGACTATACAAAATGATCCGCCAGATTTGATCTTCTAGCCACAGGATTCTGCTTAATTAATTGTAATTAATTAACCTGTCGAATCAGAGACAAAAGGCCATTTGAAAAACCAGTATTAGAGACTGCCCAATCTGTGATTAAAATCTTGATTTAGATTTGATTAGGGTAAAAACAATGTGGATAATATAACTGCTCCCAACAAGTCCCACCCAGTACCTCAGCAAAAACTGAACTGGAATGGATATTTAAAAAACTTTGCTTGGATTTGCTGACAAACATATTTCAGAACTAATTAAAACCATCCCGGAAAACATCCACACTCGTAAAGCTGGTTCTTCCTCTAGGGAGTATGCTCATGACACAGGAAGAGACCTCTTTCCACTCCCTGAGAACACTCCTCCCTCCTCACTCTGTGAAGTTACTGCCCCGAGGTCTGGAATACCACACCTTATGTCACGGCCTATATAAAAAGAAATCCTGTTACAAAAGTGGCTTTCACAATCAATGTTTTTATAAACTAATTTTTTGAAGCAAATCATTGCTCACTGTATAAAAAAATGTTAAGAGAGTCCTACATAGCAGCAGTGGAAAGATAGAAGGGAACTACTTGAAAAATCTTAGAGACTTTTTAAATACTAAATTTTCAATAAAAAAATTACAAAACACTTATCTACCTTTTTATTAATTTACATCAATACCATTTTAATTATACAGACGAATATTATCATTTAAAAATAACTCCCAGCCTTTGCTGGCTAATGAAACCACAAGAAAAGGTTGAAGTCCACTACCTAAAGTTTCAAGGGTAACTGGGACAGGAACGAGCAAGGCTGGGGGAGCTGTGTCTGGAGGAGGGAGGGAGGGACACAGAGGCAGTGTGAGAACTCTCTCTAGCACAGCTACAAGGCGGTGGATGATCCCCCCCACCCCCGAAAGCCTGAAAACCGAAGTCAATACAACAGTTGCTTCTGGGGAGGAATCCAGAGGATGGGAAGAGATGGAGCAAGGTGTTATGGCTTCCCATTGTAATCTGCTATAGTCATTGATTTTTACGCATGTGCATGTATCACTGTGATTTTCAAAAAATACAAGAATGTGTTCCTCTCTTTGTTGATGGCCAATTAATAGTAGTCCCTCTTGACCTTTATCCTATCAATACTCTCAATACAGCAGGACAAATGTGCCCTAAGAAAACTATTACATCGCTTTAAGAGCACGACTTAGCTGTGGGGAGAAAGAGTAAGGACTACTGAAGGCTCTCGCTGGGGGCCACGGCACGTGCTCACGGGAGCAAGCGATGGACAGTCCACGGCACCCGCTCCCGCCGAGGCTCCCCAGCACAAGCCCCTGCGGCCCAGGCAGGGACACCAGCACAGTCTGCCACTGAGAGACCTCGCGGCTGGCTCTGCGTGGGTGGGTGACTTTACCCACCCCTTAGCCTTTCCGAAAACAATCTTCCCAGAGATCACTGGTTTCTCAGTGATTGACTGATGCCAACAAACCACGAGAGACTGATGGGGACGCCGCCTGTGAACTTCCGGCGGAAATCACATTCTCTTCCAGTGCTCACAGTGCTCCAGGGCCCAGCTTCCCAGCGCGGAGCTACCGAGGAAGCTAGATCGCTGGCCAGACGGCAACGTGCGGAGCATGAATCGGAGGTGCGGGGTCCTGAAGCATGACGTGATGGGGGAAGCCTCTTGTACACAGCACACAACACTTCTCTTGAGAAGGCGGTGCCCGTGTCCCTCAGAGACAGTGCCTCCTTTCTCGGGACAGCACGGGACACACTCTGCACCTCCTTTTCCTTTGTTCCAGTGCTGACCGAGCCCACCTGGGCAGCCAATTCTCTCTCTAGTGCGTCAGTCGCCCATTGGTCTGGAAAGCTGTTCTAGGCAGGAAGCTATTTCTTTGGCCTTCCACTGTGGGGTCATCAGTAAGTGAAACCCTTCTTGGCGCCCTACCTTACTTCCACGTCCTCAGGGGTTACCTCCCTCCATCCCCAGAGACTGTCTACCCCTCGTTCTAGGCTTCCCGGGTCATTTGGTCTCCCCAGTCCCCAAACAAGACTGCAGCTTGGCAGCCCCACTGCACAGGACCTGCTCCCCTCCTGGCTCTGTCCACTCTACACACCACCACCTTGCCCTCCACCGCATCGGACGTCTCCATCTGGGCGGGTCACACGGTCCAGGCTTTTCCCTCTGTTCTCCTTCCTCCTCACCCAGAGCCGTGGGTTAGTGGTCTCCTGGTGTGTCCAGCGTCCAGAGAGGTGTATGGCTCGCATTCACAGACTAAACCAGTGACAGCTCAAGTGTTTTCACACAGTCAACCCTAGATTTCAGCATTGCTTTTTTAAAAAAAATGGATTTGTCTTTTCAGTGAACCAAGTTTCTTGGACTTCTGGATTTGGACCCACTCGTGCACCCCCAAGCCCCTGTCCCTTCAGTGGGGCTCTCAGTGATTCAGCAGGAGCTCTGCAATGGAAAAACCATGTGAAGACAGTGTTAGCCATCAGGACGAGATGTGTGCCCCCTCCAGCGTGTCACTTTAAAGCCAGGCAGGCCTTCGGGGCAGACACTGGGCAAAGCTGAGAGCAGGGCAGACGACACGAATAATGTCCATGTGCGGCAGGGTGGGAGGGGACGCCAGGGCCACCTCCTGTGCCAGCCACGCTGTGTACCCCCGCCACCCCCCGACCGAGCCTCCTGTGAGCTGGCATCCCTGGGGGAGAATTTTTCTGAGAAAATTCACTATTGAGTGAACCAGTCCGCCAAACTTGTAAAAACTAGGATGTGGAAATGTCACAGTTAACACTCCGCAAGGGTGCCGCGCTTAGCACCCGTCCGAGGGGTGGAGATGCAAACCCAAACCCAAGAAAGTCACACCACGTGAGGTGCAGGCGGGGGCCTTTACTAAGCTAGTCGGTCAAGAGAATCCCAAGAGACGCGAACCAGGCTTGTGCGGAGGGCACGGCGTCTCACTGCTCTGGCTGGCGGGGAGCCCCGGACGCGGGTGGCAGGTCTCAGCGGCAGCCTGCGCGCGGCTAGCCGCTGACACTTGTCTGGACTGCGCCACTTACTTACTGACTTCTAAACAACCTTATTTCTATTTAATAATGAAGGATTTGTGATTACTTACAATTTCAGACACTGGGATTTGGTACAGTTACATGGCTTTTTAGACTTTGTGTCCCATGAACTAAGAGTTACTCTATAAAGATTAAAAAAGAAAATATTCAGATCGTTACTCTTTAAAAGGAGAATTAGCTAAGCATCTGGTGTTTCTGAACAAATACTGAAAATCTCAGCACCAGGTAGTTATAGGTATTATTTACCCGTGCCTGATCATGAAAGGGAAGTGGCGTGCCTATTACAATATGATGGAACGAGCCTGGGCCAATCCCAGCCTGTGTGCCCGCAGATCCCGCAGGGGGTGCAGAGCAGGACCCGGTGGCTGTCCCCTCCCCAGGAAGCCTTCTGGACGTTCTTCCCTTGATCCGTTTAAACCCCTGTTGTGTGGGGACCCTCACACCAAATAGCTCCTTTATTTCAACTTTTTTGTATTTTCCCAAATCTGAACACTAACGGATAGTATAACTTAAAAAATAGGCAAGTCATCATTTTATATTGTTAGAGCCATCCACACTGCAGAGCTACCAGCAATATAAAGCAAGTTTCCAGTGGAGACCTTCCTCCTAACTGCTCTTGGGGATTAGCCCAGAGCCATTGTGAGGGGCATCAGAGGAAGAGAGGCCAACGAGTCGTGGATGCTAAACATGAAGGGCAGCTATGGATTAAAACTCAGGGAAAGATCCCGAGCACTGCTTTCCAATGCTGCTCACAGAGGGAACCCTGAGCCCTGGTTCTGTGAGACGTTTACTACGCTACTGAAAGGAGGGGCAGGTGCACAAAGACCGCGCCGGTGGCAGGGCTCTGGTGGGTCGCAGGGACACCGCTTGGTCTGGGTCTTCCTACGGAAACCGCAGGGTACTTGGCCCACAGGTAAACTTGGCCAACAGTCTCCTGTCGCCACCCAGAGTGCAGAAGCACTCCGGCCACTCGTCCCATGGTTCTAACAGATACAAATGCCCTGAAGACCCTAGGCGAGCCCCTTGCCTGTACTCTGCGCACTCACACACTCTGCTACCTGGAGTCCGGACTGGGGGCATCGTAAGTCCTAGCTCAGCCCCTCGTTCTCTGTGCCCTGCCGTGGGTTCCTCCTGCGTGGGCAAGCTAGCCTCACCGTCTAGGCTTCTGTTTAGCGACACCCCTCCCTGCGCACACACACTCGGTACCCGACTCACGGACGAGCTGCTAACTCTTAACTTCGGGAGATTCTCCCGTTTTTAAGACAATGTCCTCAAACTATGTCACTGAATGCTGTATTAGTTTATGATTCATCCAGTTTACTTTTCTCCTTTGAACCTAGTGGAGTGACAGCTTTCTGTCCCCGCGGGTGCCCAGAGGTGGCAGATCTGGCCCGTGCACCTTGGAGCAGACGTGGGCTTTCAGAGCAGTGCATGTGGACACCTACTTCACTGCTCCTGTTCTCAGACTCTCAGATCTCCCCCCACAATGGGGCACAGGGTGGCCTGGCACTGACTGTCCAGAGGAACCAAAAACCTTTCCTTTAAAAAATGGGGTGGGGGCGCATGGAGACATTCCAGGGGTGACCTGCCACGATTGTGGGAGGACAGGGTACAGTTCAATGAATGTCCTGTATCAGGAAGATACCAATAGGCATTTCCTGAGAGATCATCAAGTGGTCAGGACCGTGATAAGAGCTTCAGGGGAAAACCAAAAAATATATGTGTAAAAATCTATAGTGCCAGTCCTGGAGGAATCCAGCAAATAATCTGGGACATGAGATATATGTATAGATATGATGGAAAAATTGGAGGATAGAAGATATTGTATAATCACAGCTGTCAAATTATTTGATACTGACTGGCAATGATATAAAATTCGGAAACGGTAGTCGAATATAGATGGAAGAAGTTCAACTACTTTCGAAGGAGCTATAACTCGACACCACCTGTTAGGGCTGCTGAGACTTGCTATCCGCCACAACGGGGTTTCAGCTGAGGTAGCGGCAGGAGCAAAAGTGCCGTAGGGGCAGGACCTAAACCTGCGAAAATCCCACAGCTCTGAGGACACCTGTCCGCCCTCACGCCAGGCTGAAAATTAAGGAGTCAGGAGAGAGCCACACAATTCCGCCTCAGAAAAGCATGAGAAATAAACTGCACCACACGAGGTATGGCCTCGTCTTTATGAAAAAAATTTTCAGAGAAGCAGACTCTTGAATGTTCTTTATTATAACGTTCATTATGTCACCAAAAGTAACAGGATCAACGATATATCAGAATTCACATTAACGCCTGACTGACGACAAGATGACGAAAGCCATGCAGAGTGACAGGACATGAATTTTTACTAAAAGGGCATTTTTATTAATATAATAAGCTAGTTAATAAGTTAGCCGGTTCACCACCCAACTGTGAAGAACGATGATGGGGTGAACGCACCCCTGAAGACTGCTGACCAGGAGGAGGTCCCAGCTGACCTGCTTCTACGTCACACGCTAGGTTAGAAACGTTCCAGCCATAACGGGCCGACATTTTCCTTTCTGATGTCTTCGGACCTAATCTGACCTTGTTATCTTGTGGAAGTCAAAAAGAAACCTAATGAGGCATCTAAAGAGCTGAGGAGGTATAGCAAACTAGTCGCAGTTGGGAGCTCATACAGGATGAAGCAACAGCAAACGGGTTTCTGCATGCTCCCTTACCACGAATCCTAAATTGGTAGAGATTCCCGTCTACCATTAGTACTGTGGATGTTGAGATAAAAATCATCAGGGCTGATTCAGAGGAGTGACATCAAATCAAGCAATTCTTTGCAGCAAAAAATCACAAACACAAAGCTCCCATTGTTCCTGGCACATCATTTATAAGAGAAAAATATTTTATGACCTGCACAGTTACATCAAAATAAAGAAAAATATGTGACTGAGAAAACCAAGTAGAGTCCGGGGACAAGCCGGGAAGCTCCCTCCTGCTGTCCCCCGCCCCGAGAACGTGGATCAGCCATGCCACAAAGAAGCCTCAGGCTGCACCGTGACTAGATCTAGAAGTGGCTTATGTGGCTTCTGTTCTGTCCAGAAGTGGCAAGAGCCATGATGATAGGACTGAGTATAGTACCAGTGACCACACACCCTCCCTGATCCATCCCCAAGAGAGTGAAGCAAGGAGGATGGCTTCACACAACCCGATCCCACTAAATGAACTGAAAGTGCCTGCCGAGGCACCGGGTGACAACCACCGACAGACAAATCACAGCACCAGAGAACCACGCAAGCCACTGACACGCTCCGATGGCAATGCAGAGAGGAAGGCATCGATCTCTGCCAAGGGGTTCGCTTGGCCTTTCTTGCGGCCCCCAGACAGCCCTCTTCCCACTCACCAACGCCACAACCAGCACTGCAGGGGCCCGGAGAGCACCAGAGCTCACAGTGGACAGTTCACAAACTGCCTGACCTGATGGGGATGTCTGACCACATTAGACTGTGTGCCCCACACTTACAGAGGCAGAAACGGACTGATCTCCGTAACCAACTCAAGGGCTCCACGAGCGGAAAGGGCTGCCCCGTCCACTGTTAGCACATGAATGTTAACTCAACGAGGAGTTCCAACCAGCTTGGTTAGTTTAATTAGTTACAATCATAGACATGACTGTCAAATGGCAAGACAAGGCCCCCGCTAAGTGCAGCCCATGTCCACGCGGAGACCGTGAGCCTTGGCACCTGCCTCCAACGACAGGCTGACCCAGCAGGGGTGCTGAGGCAGGCAGAGGCGGCCCAGAGAGGCACACTAAGACCGTCGTCAATGTTAAGTGCCTGCCGCACTGTTACTTATGTTGGTGACGAGAAAGAGATAGAGCATCTCAGTTTATCTCAGTTTAAACTGATGTGAGACCAAGACAGAGCTCTGGATGGCAGTGGGCCCCTGAAACACCGACACGGGACAGCAGACGAGGAAGCCTTTCCAGCAACAAACCAGACATGCACAGTGACACGGTGGCTGCCACTGCTTAATGTAAAATATAGCTTTTAGAGGTCACGAAGGTCTACAGGTCAAGCTGATTTTATAACTTAGCATAAAACCACCAAAGTATCCCCAAAGCCTCTTAAATGCTTCTATTAAAGTAAGTGACAGCTGATTGCTTCCAATCCTTACCCAGCCAAAGTTATTTTTGGTGGTCCTGGAAGAGCGGATCCCGAAGGGAAAGCAGACCCGTTGACTAGGGATGGGAAGGCTCCACTTTCAAGCTGTAGAAAGTCAAAGACAAGCATATTTTGAATTAGAACATGTTTCAAAAGTTCCATCCAGTCAACCCTTAGGTCCAGAAAAAAATGACTGGTTTTCTTCTGGAGGTTTAGGTCACAATGGCTTTACGTCAGGCCCCGCCACCATGACGGTCCTCCTCACCCTGGAGTGGGCTCCGGCCCAGGCTTCTCCGCAGCAGTGGGGGGGCTCAGCCCGTTGTGTCCCAGACCCGCACGGCCACGCGTGCCCGGGGGAGAGAGCCCTGCCTGTGTGGACTGGGGGCAGGAGGGTGAGGACGCAGGGCTCGGCCAGCCACACAGCTGTTGGGCGCTGGTCGCAGACCCTGGAACGGACAGCTTTTCCACTTTTATGACTACAAATTGTGAATTAAATTCATTCACAAACTTCTGTACTCTGAAACTGTTCTTTAATTATGATGACATTCTTGGTATAAGAGCCCTGGACATCTGAAGTCTCGTCAACCATTAGTGTCTCATCTCATCAAAAAAAAAAAAAAAAAAATCTGTAGTCAGTTTCAACAAATCCAAAAGCCATGTCACAATCTCTGCCCCGCCCCGTGTCCTTTGCTTTCCTGGCTCTTATTTATCTTTCTTTCTATTACTCGGTAGCATGGTTCACAGACGATATTCCCAGGAAAAGGAAAGGGTAGCAAAGTCAGCAATGACCTTATTTTCTCCTTATGCGAAACTTGGAGAAATGTAAAGTATTGCATAAATTTAGGTTTTGAGATGATTTGTATATACCACGCTTCAATACCCTATCCTTGCCCCTTCCTCCCCTGAACACTTGAAATTTAAAAGTAAGCTTGATACAGAAAGTACCGTCTTGGGGGATGCCTGGCCTGCTCAGTCGGAAGAGCATGTGACTCTTAATCTCAGGGTTGTGAGTTTGAGCCCCAGGTTGGGTGCAGAGATTTCTTAAATAAGTAAAACTTTTTTTAAAAAAAAGTACAAACATTTTATTCATTCTATTCATTTTCTCTCTTCTGCCTCTTATTAAATTGTGTGTCATCACTGCCTGTGGGGCTTGAAGACCCTAAGAAGCCACCCTGGGTCCACGTCCTTGAGCACAAAGCCCTGTCCCTCCAGGGAGCCTCACCCCAGGAGCCTCGCTCTTCTGTCTGGGGCTCTGCCCTCCTCACTCAATTTACAGGAGGGAAGTGTTCACAAGTTACTGAAACCGTCTCTTTCCTGTCACCCAGACACCTTGTCAGGCCCATGTCCTCAGTGGTGGTCCAAAGTTTGACATTCTTTGGGAGAAAGGATTTCACAGTTCTCAGAATTGAGGCAATCCTTCACATAAACCGGGGTACAATTTCTCCTTTCCCCTTTGCTTATTCAGCCCCAAAGTGAAGAGAGAAAAAGAGATGGCTTCAGTACGGCATAGGTAGTTAATCTAGAGCCACTTTATGCTGGAAGCCATGACGTTCTTCAGCAAAGGCTGACCACATAGGAGCAAAGATGTAAACTCTCAGGCAGTCTTTCTCAGTCACATCACCTGGGATCTTGCTAAAACGCAGACTCTGGATCAGTGAGTCTGGGGCAGGGCCTGAGGTCCTGCATTTCTGTCAAGTTCCCAGATGACGCCCAGGCTCCTAGTCCATGCACCACACTGTGAGTAGAAGAGTACTTAAAAAATATACAGAATTTGGGGGCGCCTGGCCGGCTCAGCCAGTGGAGCATGCGACTCTTGATCTCAAGGTTGTGAGTTCAAGTCCACGTTGGGTGTAGAGAATACTTAAAATCTCCCCTTTAAAAATACTTATACAGAATTGGGAGTTTGGCAAGGAAGCAGCGAGTGCATGGCTGAAGTGATTGCCTCAAGGTCCACACGGGATAAGAAGTCAGGGGCAGGGGCGCCTGGGTGGCTCAGTTGGTTGGGCAACTGCCTTTGGCTCAGGTCATGATCCTGGAGTCCCGGGATCGAGTCCCGCATCGGGCTCCCTGCTCAGCAGGGAGTTTGCTTTACCCTCTGACTCTCCCCCCTCTCGTGCTCTCTCTCTTCCATTCTCTCTCTCTCAAATAAATAAATAAAATCTTAAAAAAAAAAAAAAAGAAGTCAGGGGCAGCCAACTTGGGGATAAGATGAACACAGCCAAGAAAAAATGGGGAGGAGGCAGAGAGAAAGGAGGTGGTGGTCCAAAGGGGCACTTCTAGTGCACAGCCTTAGCAGTAGGAGAGCAAGTCCAACGTGTGCCTTCCCGGCTGGGGCTGACCCAGTGGGGAAAGGCCGGCCGGGGGAGCGGAGGCAGCCAGGAGGCCGGAGGCTTGTGTGCAGGATCCATGAGACCCAGCCCCAGGCGCTCCCAAGACCACCGCTCAGGATCTCCTGCGTGATCAGTAGTCTCTACACCTCCTGGCTAACAGATCATTTGAGAAATACTTATTTACTCACTCGACCAAACGTCTGTTTATACCCGCTGCCTCACCCATCTCCTCTGGTCTCAAGGCCTTAAATGCCGTCTACACCCTGGTGACTTCATCCCTCCAGCCCAGACCTTCCTCACAGCGACCTCTAGGCCCGCATACCCTCGTCACTCGGCTGTCTCAAACGACTAGCGAACTAACTCCTGGTCTCCCTCACAAAACGTGCACCACCCCAGCTCTCTTGAGGGAAACGCCATCTTTCCACTTGTTCTGGCCGAAAACCTTGGGGCATCCCACATGCAGCCTGTCGTAAGCCATGTCGTCAGCCTGCAGGGGATCCGGACAAGCCGTTTCTGCCCCGCCCGCCCCCCACGAGCCCTGCCTGGTCTGAGCCGCCATCTCTCCCCTGGCGCTATGGGTAGGTTCCCCAGCGCCCACCTGGCCCCCTCCTTCCCCAGCCCTGTGCTTCCTCATCTTGCATTTCCTTCTGCTACCTTCCGCTCGCTCACTCCGTCCCCTCCCTGCTGGCCTCCTTGCTGTCTCGATGGCAGGCTGACCCTGTGTTGTGCTGTTCTGCTTGCCTGCAATGTTCTTCCATGTGATAGTCACACAGCTCACCCTCTCAAGATTTGCCTAACTGTCACCTCCTCAATGGAGCCAACTGTGACTGGCATCCTGCCTTCCTCCCCACGGAACCTCTGTACCCTATGCCCATCCTCTGCTCTCCTAGCATACAATATAGTTTATCTACTAGACTTGCCTGTATTGTCTGTCTCCCACACTAAAATGCAAGCTGCAGGAGACAGAGTCACATGTTTCCTTCTGCTTTTGTTCGGGGGCATCACCGATGTGGTCCAAGTGCTCAGACCGGCGCCGGCCCTACTGAATGAAAGTCACTCTGCGTGACTGTCCTATATGTGCCAGGCTTCATTCCCGGTCTCAGTTTACAGAGACCAACTAGACCCACAAGATCTCTACTCCTGTGGACCTGGCATACCTGTGGGTAGACGCAGACAAACGAACAAACCAAAAGACGCAAGACCATGACAGTACTGGGCAGAGAATCAGACAGGTGCCGTGACGGTGACTGTCAACCCCAGGGAGTCACAAAAGGCTCTTCTGGGGCAGTAACATTTTATATCAAGACTTAGGGAAAAGAACACATTTGTCTTATATTTAGTATATGCATATTATGGTGCAATCATAACAGCATTTTAAACTCTAAAAAAGCATTCCCATTCCACCGAGGAAGGTGAGGAATGTTCTACACCAAATGAGTGGTGTGTCCTGGTGGATGGACAGCAGGGCCACAAAGGACAAGTTCAGCAAACGGGGCAGAAGGAGGGTCCGGAGGCTGTAGGAGAGGGCAAGCAAGACAGCCCCACAGGGCTGGCCCAGAACTGTGTCTTGAACCTATGCCATTCCCTCCCAAGCCCCAGGGTCTGACACAGCGGTGGAGGTACTGAATACTTATAAAGGTTTCACTGTTGATTTGAAAAAAAAAAAAAAAAAAAAAAGAGGATAAATTATGTTTCCTGAGTAATCCCAACTTCAACAATTGAAATTTTAAGAGAAAATAGTGCCCAATTGCATTTTTTTTTTATTAAAACAATGACTCACTTGTTGTGTAATGAGATTTAATTTTGCTGGTACTGGCAAAAATCTTCCTACTAAAGTAGTCATTGGTTTAGGGACATCTGTAAGGAAGACAATTAAAATTAATTGATAACATATATTGTTCCTTTTCTACTTGCACGTGGGCAAAGTACAAAAATGATCATGTATCATGGATTTATCATGTGCCAAATCATTTAAACTTATCTTGATCCTATTTGCTTTTTTATTCTGTAAAACCTTTTGAGTCAATGTATTGTTATTATTTTTTAATTATTATGCCCTTTTTCTTGGTCCTAAATCTGCCTAACTTAAGCTTCCAGGGATAGTCTACTATACTGTAAACAAAACAAAATGAGACAAAACTGTTGCTAGTGCCCAGGTTCCCAAGCTGTGGCTATGTGCCAAGGTGCCTTCAGGCGCCACAGCAAACTCACCAGGGAGTCTCTGGATATGTCGCACGTTCGAGGAAAGCACAGCGACATCTGTTGGACACCACATGAACTACTTTCAATTTATGTGTATTCTTTTTTCCAAATAGTTACTAACTTGCTAGGATTCAAATACTTATTAGGCTGTTTGGGCCAAACTATTTAACTACTGGAATTGACCGGTATTTCTTTGGTCTAAGGGTGCTGTGGAAAACATTCCTGAGACACCAGAGGCCCTGCAAACCTCAGTGATCATAAGTAAAGGCAGAGGGAGAAATGTGTCTTAGTGTCTTGAATCTCCGACCAGCTAAACACATTCCCTGCCCCGGGTTTACGCATCCTTTGAGTGATGTTACCTTGAGTCTTTGGTAACAGGATGCATTCTCTTAGGCTGGTATTTCACATGTACATGGTGAGGGGGTTATGAATATATGACAAGGAAGTAGATTTGGAGAACATTATATAAACCCTTTCCTTTCGTGGACCTAAAGGCATTAGGATTTTGTCATGTTCCAGAAGGAAGGGAATTAGGAAAGAAGCCCTCTTTCCTAATTCCTAATGCTGTGCAGAGGATCAGATACCGCTCTGACTTACAGGAAATGGAGCCAGATGATCCGTGGTGGGTATGGACAAAGGGCTTCTGGAAGACAGAACTCCAGCCCCAATTCCGTATCACAGAAAAGCAAATGTCTTAAAGGCATTTTATCTGTTCCTAAATAAAGAAACTATCAGGATGGATACAATATTTACGATATTTCTTTTAGCCCTGAACTCTGAAGTACCACTGAAATGACATCTGTATTTAATACTGATTTAAATTACTGGCAATAATAATATTGTATCAACTTTGTGTAGCAACAGATGGTAACTAGACTTACTATGTTGATCAGTTCCCAATGTATACAAACCTCAAATCACTGTTGTACAAATGAAACTAATATAATGTGGTAGATTAATTATACTTCAACAACAAAAAAATAAAACAAAATAAATCAATCATTGGCAAGTTCAGCAAAACATGATAATTAAAATATTCTGATTAACTCAAGATTCAGAATAACATGATTATGTATATAATCCACATAGAGATGTCTAGTTTTTAAGAATTAGGGTCTAGGGCGCCTGGGTGGCTCAGTTGGTTAAGCGACTGCCTTCGGCTCAGGTCATGATCCTGGAGTTTGAGTCCCGGGATCGAGTCCCGCATCCGGCTCCCTGCTCACCGGGGAGTCTGCTTCTCCCTCTGACCCTCCCCCCTCTCATGCTCTCTCTCTCTCTCTCATTCTCTTTCTCAAATAAATAAATAAATAAAATCTTTAAAGAAAAAAAAGAATTAGGGTCTAACTTTTGTAAACTCAATCCTAAAACTATGTCATTATTCTATCTTTAATCATTTGTAAGTAATTTGAGGATAATTAAGGACTTATAGGTCATTTATTATTATTATGCCAGTCTAAAGATGTTTCTGGGAGAATGGAAGAGAAAAATCAGCATTTGATATATTTCAAAACTCATGCTGAGTAAAGCATAGTCATGGTTCTCACTGATTACATGAAAATGCTTCCGTTAAAATGTATATAGTCTAAACCACACCTGAACCGTCAACCCCCTACCCAATCCGGGAAAGGCTGATGTTTCAACCCAGCCCCCTCTCGGCACACCCACTTGCTGGTTAACAGCAATGGCCTGTTCGGATCACAAGCTCTCTGCAGCTAGCCCAAGTAGAGGATAAATATCCAAAAATACAATGTACGTAAGTTAGTCTATGAAGATTTTTGTTTCTATTCTTAGTTCACTCATAAGGGCTAAGAGGCTTGCCAAATTGCCTATTCAATAACCTAACTCTATATACAAAGCCAAACATATTCACTTACCAACTTACATATATGACATAATTTTTTTTTATTATTGTACTCTGTACCTGACTGTAGATAATTATTTTGGTCTTGATACTGAGGAACCAAATGAAGTGCTTTTAGTTCTCTTGTGCCAGAATTGTCTATACACAGCATTTGTGTACCCCCTTTCAACTGACATATCACCTAAAATGAAAAATAATGATCAGGTTTCATTTTTAAAAGATATCCAGTAATATGAACCTAAATCAACTTAAATCTGAGAAAGTAACTTTAATCCAGATTTTAAGTTTTAATGGAAAATGGCAAGCTAAAGATCTGTTCTTGATTTCTTACGCTACAATAACATGCTCTCTGGAGGTACCACAGGGCAAAAATCCCTCAGTGTTTTGTGAGACATGTTCAGTGTGTGAATGTGAGTTCCTGCTCATGCCTTCCTCTACAGTGTCTGCCCATGGAGGTTTAGGGTAAGGATCAGGTGACTGTGCACCGAGCTTCCTTCCCCACCCTCACACTCCACTGTCTGCATGAATGAAGAGTGCGGTGATCTGCCCAAGCCCAGCCCCATTAGATCCAGGTAACTGTAAGGAAGACTTCATCCCCGACTTCATCTCTGGAGCTGATCACATACTTAGAATCATCTTATATTTTATGAGTTATCCTATCCTGCTACACACACATACTATTATTTTACATGTGGGTTTTTTTTTTAAATGTCCATTTATTTTATTTCCTACAAGTACAGTTCAGAAAGGTTAATCCAAGAACTAGAAGGTTCTAAGAAGCCATGTCAGTCTCCTTGGGCCTGACTGGCAATCTCCGATCACCTTGTTCATTCTGACCATAAATGAGTCCTCAGTGAGCCAGGTGAGTCTGTCGGTCAAAGACACAAGTCAGGCAAGGCACAGATGGACGGAGCCCCTCACTGGCTGCAGTCCCATCCAAGGCAGTGCAGCGTGAATATAAAGGCAAGAAAAATCATGGTTTCTGCCCACACATAGCTTTTAATTCCGATGGTAAAACCACAGATACCCAAAGAAGCTGTGGTTTCTGACTTTAGGTTGCCTTTGGGTTTCCCAGACAGGAAACCCCAAATAAGCACAAAGGATTGATGTTAGCAGAGTAACACCTGTAGAGCCTATGTTAACAAAGTGCTGATCACTGGATCAAACCTTTACATCAGCCCGACATTGGATAAGAGGCCAGTATTCATGTTTGGTTGGAATTTTATTTGTATTCAGAGGACAAAGTTATAGCCACACACACACACACACACAGGTGCACAAAATGGATAAAGAGTGGGTTCTCCTGGGCTCTGCCGTGCCTCCCCCACCCCCCACCAGGACCTCGTGTATGCTACTCAGTAGTCTGGCGTAACTAGAAGAGTTCCTACCCTGCTCACCTGGTCCAGGCATCCTGGACAAGCTCTGCTCTCAGAACCCACAGCCCTGAGCAGAACCACAGACAGACAGGCAGGTACTGATATATGCCATAGCTAAGCCAGAGTTCGTGATGAGCTCATTTTCAAGTTATTTCCTAGTTAAAGTATGTGCCTTAGAGCTTAGGCCACCTTTCTCGGAATAAAGAGCTGCCAGGGAAAAGGCAGTCTCTGGCTCTTTGGACTATTTGCTGGAAGAACAGTTGGGGCCCGATGGTTCTCTGGCTCTTCTCCTTCTCAGTCCTCACCACACTCAGACCTGGAGGCCCAGATGCACAACTTACAAGCAGGCCATGCAACAGCTCTCTTTTCTCATGCATGAAATGTAGATAAAAATATGTCTAGCCTACAGCACTGACAGGAGGATTAAATGAAAGTACGAACATGTCAAATTATCACAAGAACCACACGTTACGGACTATGTCATGCAAGTGTCACTTGGTATTATTAGGAATTTGGAAGTATTAGGTATTTGAATTTGGTATTACTAGGAAAGGGAAAGAGCCAGAGAAGCAGAGCTCCCTGTACCCGCCCCACCTGCCAAACCACACAGCTCTGCAGGCTGCGCCAGCCCTGGGCCCACCTTGGGTCTGCACTGCCCAAGGGGACTTGTGCTCACCCTCCTCAGCAAGGACAGCAATGTCCTGATCTTTGTTTGGTTTGCTAAGCCCCAGGAAATGGTAATCTCAGAGCGTTAGAGAGGTTCTCACTACGTCCCTCTTTTGATAGACGAGGCAACCAAAAATGTGGATTCAACAAGTAAGAAGAGAGGGGTGCCTGGGTGGCTCAGTCGTTGGGCGTCTGCCTTCGGCTCAGGTCATGATCCCAGGGTCCTGGGATCGAGCCCCGCAACGGGCTCCCTGCTCAGTGGGAGGCCTGCTTCTCCCTCTCTCACCCCCCCTGCTTCTGTTCCCTCTCTCGCTGTGTCTCTCTCTCTGTCAAATAAATAAAATCTTTAAAAAAAACAAGAATGAAAAACAGTGACTGAAATCAACGATTCCTATCGAATTAGCAATGATCAGAATCATTTAAGATAATGTCAGACACATTTCCTTTGGCATCATTACCATTGGGTTAGAGTCCTTTTTGTGAGAGTGGTCAGCGTCCTCTGCTTCTTGTGATGAGGGGAACTTGCAACAGGATTCTGGACCAAGAGGGTTCCGAAAAGTTGCTTCCTCCGGATTGTTACTTATAATTGTACCACCTGCCTCCTTTATTTCCACCTAAAAAAAGCAATTGTTATTTTAGAAACCACACTGTGGACACTGGGTTTCACAGTTGCATTCTATAGAAAATTCTCTGTAGAAGTTATGTTTTAAGTAAAGAGCACCCTTACCTTTACTTCTCTCCCACACTATCATTTTCCCTATGGGGGGCAACAAGGAGGGGTGATAAGTCCTCTGATCAGCCTCGCTGGGGAGGAAGGACCCTGAGGACCAAAACCATCTGCCCACAAAGTATGGAGGTATGATTTCAATGTGGTGCTCATGCTGTTTCAAACACACAGCATAAGGAACTAAGAAGATGCTCCACTGGCCCGGTGCCCCTCGAGGGGCTCAACAGCCCCCCCTCCACTCTACAGGGGCTGGCAGCCTTGGGGGGGCCTTCCTTAAAATGGCCTCAGATACTGACCCTTTCTCACCGTTCTTAGAGCATGCTCATTAAGTTGTATGAAATATTCCAGTTGATTTCGATGTTTCTCAAGAAGGCTCCAATCCTTGCTGACGTATCAGATGTAATATTGACCATGTATTTACGACAAAACTCATAATTACATAATAGCACTCTCCTGACTGCGTGGCAGGACGGTAAGCAAGGGCACAGGGAGTGGCCAGTGTCATCTCTAAGCCATCTTCTGCAACATCTGCCATCTCAGGGACACACAGCAAGATCACCAGAGACAGGGCGAAATGCCAACGGTACTACTGAAAACCAACGGAATTTAAAAACTAAAAAGACTCAATGGTTAATAAAAATTACCATCAGATTCAAGAGTTCCAAAATCGTGAGGATCCTTTCTAAAATTTGCTAATGTGAGGAGGGGATTGGGATGGCATCGGCCGCGCCCTCCTGAACTGTCACCTGTCCACAGTGCCCATTGCAGAGTACAGGGGAGCCTCCCCAAAGGCCAGGAGGTAGGTCCTAGAGTCTTTCCAAGAAGACAGTGATTCTAGGGTAACATTCCGAAGACCTCATAGAAAATCGCAGCACAGATAACAATCTTTCTAGGTGTGGCTGTGGATGCAAACTTGGAGATGTCGAATGGTGAAATCAGTGACCCACACAGATAAAAATTACTGGCAGGTTCCTTAGCACGGCAGACTGGCGTAAAGGTATAAATCTTTAAAAAGAGGAAGGTTTAGCTGTATTTCAAGTTATGGCTTTATTTCGATAATTCACATTTTATAGAAAGAGAAAATTTTAAATTTTCTTCTGCTTTCTGCTTTGAGGAACTTGCCAGGCAGGTGCCATCAGAGTTTAGATTTAATTTACCACCTTGTAATTAACAAGTGCTTTATACAGTAAATGTATCAACTCCTCAGCCGCATGCAACTATGATCTGAACTACTTATACTCAGTAAAGTCCCATTTTTACAGAAGAGATATAAACAAAGGTCAATGTGGGAATGAATTTCTAGAAAAGGGAAATTAGCAATTCATCCTCAATATTTACTAAAAAATAATCCCATTCTGTTTAAATGATAAACATGTTCACGCTGTATCTTTTTCATTTTACTAGTTAACTAGGAAATAGGCAATAAATTTTTTTTAAAAAGCAAAGAAATATCATCCAAATAGCCTCTCCTTTATTTTGTCAAACCTACATTTTGTTAAAATTGGATTACATTAAAAGGGAATTTATGATTTTGACATGAGCTAGTTCCATTCCTGTTCTGGTGAATTCTCACTGAGTCCACTTTGTACAGGAAGGTAGCCGGACTAGAGGCCTCATAGGCAAAAGGTGCCAGGAACCCAAGTTTGGTCTGGAAGCAAAATGGAGTGGCTGACATTTCAAGCCATCTGAAAAAGATTCAAGGAAGACCTCTACCGTGGGTGAAGGCTTGTAGGACTTGGGTGAGCTCTAGGGTTCCTCTATGTAAGCTGAGAGGGTGGTGGAGGCCCAGCCTCTCCTCCCCATCTTTCCTTAACACTAAGGAGCAGTGACTGCACTGAAGGAAAACCAGAAAGGCAGAAATCCAAGCCCCTGCAGCTATGGCTCAGAATACATGCAGTCAGGCTACAGCCATCCCAACACCAACTCCCGAGTGCTCCACAGAGGCTTCCCTTGTAACTTACTACAGTGATTTAATGGCTGAGGAATCTAGTTTTTCCAAACTAGATGCTCTTAGGGGGCCAGTATCCATTTCTTCAGGATCCTTTGTTTCCTTTAAAAATTGATTTGTTTCGTTTTGGCAAGAACAAAGCAGAAAATCACCAGTGGTGACAGCAAAAGAGGGTAGTTAGCAGAGAATTAGCAGGAATTAATGTAGACTGATTTATACTTCATATGCTTGAGGAACGATCCCTAACAATTAGCAGAGAGAAGCTCTCACATCTTGATTTCATGATTACACGAAAACAATCACGCTGCATTTTCTCCCCAGAGGCTAGTGCCTCTAACTTAAAGGGGCTTCTTTCCTAAAGCCAGTGAGTGATAGCAGGAGGGGCCGCACCCCTCCCCACTCTTTCCCTCTTCTGCTGTAAGCTCTCTGCAGCCTTAGGCCACTTTGAACCAGCCCCCAGGGGGCTTACAGAGGGAGATGCTCAGTTGGACCCAGTGAATCCAACCGGGGATGCTACTGACCCCGGGAAAATGCTTGTGGGGAAAGCCTTGGCCCGGGCCAGTGGTCCCACTTATTTCCGAGGGGGGTGGCGGAGGTCCCGCGCCCGTTCCCCACATGGATCTTACTGGAATCACCCGGACACCGGGGTGGGCGGCTCCTTCCCTGGCCCAGGCGCCCAGGTGCACGACAGCAGGACTCCTGTGCGGGGCCAGCAGGGAGGACAGGAAGTGCACGTTGTAGGCCTGCGGCTGCGGGACCACGGACAGCGCGGCGTCCTCCAGGGGGCTGAGCTCGGGGAGACTCGGGTACTCCGGGAGCATCTCATCCTCGTTGTCGTCCACCACGAGCTCCACTTTGACTTGACGCTCACAGTCCACGTGAAGCGGGGTGCTGAACGCGTGCAGCAGGGGCTCCTTGGGGTCCGCGGAGCTCAGATACGCGTCTTTAAACACGTGGAACTCGTCCTCCTCGTGCTTCACCACCACCGGGGCTTTCAGGGTAAGGTTTTCAGAAACAAACGGACTCTCTGCACTGAAAAGGTCTGTCACGATCTCCTCCTCGGGACTGGACAACCCGCCAAGCAGAGGGACCTCTTCCATAGCCACTGAGGGGACCTCGGGCCGGGCATCGCCACGCACCCCTCGCTACTCGGATTCCGGCCGGGAGCCCACCTGCAATGACGTGGCCAGGTGAGGCGGGCACGGCCCCGCCCCGCCCGGGCTCCCCAGCCTCCGCGCCCGAGGGGCCGACCGGGGCGGGGGTCCCTCCGCGCCCGAGGGGATGACCGGGGCGGGGGTCCCTCCGCGCCCG